TCCAGGCGGGCCCGGGGAGCCGATAGAGGCCAGTGAGCTAACAGTGTCCGCAGCACCCGGCAACACGTCTGTCCCCTGGCTCCCAACGCTGGTGCCCACGGAGCTGGCCAGGGCAGGGTTCTGCCCCAGCCCAGCCTAGCAGCAGTCCACGACAGTTGTGCCAGTCACTTTCTGCCCCAGGTGAGCGCATCTGGGGGTAGGGGGGCAGGCAGGGAAGCAGCTGGCCCAGCTGGCAGCACTCAGAGGGCAGTTCACATGGCGGACGTGCAGTAAAAGGCTAGCCAGGAAAGGAGGGGGGGCGGACTCTCTGGTCCCTGGCGAGCCCGTACCACAGGGCTGGGCAGGGGCATAGCCAAGCACTGGGGAGCGGGCGGTGTTTCCCCAGCCCTGAGGGCAGAGGAACTTGAAGGCAAACTGCCACCATCATGCCCAGACTAGCCACAAAGCCTCAGTCCCAGGGAGGCAGGAAGTTGGCTAGTTCCTAGTTGGTGGGAAGGCGCGTTGGTTGCCGTACGGGAGCCCGGGGGGGGCTCCTGAACTACCACTTACAGGCACGGCCGCAGGGGAGGGGGGTTATGGTGCAGTACATATCACACCCGTGTCACCAGGCACTGGGAGCTTTGCTGGCCTTCCCGTGTGCGCAGCCAGGGCAAGGGGCAGGGCTCCGAGGAGCGGGCACGCTGCTGAGCAGACAGGCTTAGGCTGGCCCCCGTGTCCTGAGCTGGCCCTACCCAATCCCCAGAGGGGTCGCTCTGTCACGGAGGAGCTGCCCAGCTGTGAGACCTGCTTTGCCCCTGGGGCTAGTTGCAGTGTCATCGGCTGCAGGCCAAACCCTGACATGCCAGAGAGGGAAGGAGACTCAAGGGGACTCCCATTGCTCAGCTGGCTCTCCTGCGGGGGTCTCCAGGGCCTCTGGGGCGAACGGAGCCCTGGGCTCCTCTCGCCGTTCCCACGTCCCTCCTGACTCACCCAGGGGAAGCCCGAGCCCTGTGCATGTTCCGGGCAGGGGCGCTAAGCAAGTCCGGGCTCCCTTCCCTTTGGCTGCCTGCACTTAGCCTGTGCAGAGGCGGGACGAGGTATTACTTGCGACAGCAGCTGCCGGAAGAGCCTTACCTGGCTTTAACCAACCCTCCGCCCTGTGTGTCCCGGCAGCCCTAGTGAGGCAAAGGAGAAAGCCCCCAGCATCCCCGATTAGCAACGTCTGCTCCTTGGCAGCAGGCCCTGCCTCTGCTCAGGAACTTCTGATTCAGTTGCCAAACTCCTTCATCGGCTCGGGGCACAAGACGGGTCAAGGCAGCAGCTCCAGCCCAACCCTTCCCTCCCCTCCCCGGGGGAGCACTGACACTGGGAGAGTTTAACCAGCCGACTGCCGTCCACAGGCCACTAGCCCAGCAGATACATGAAGAACCGCAGACATGTGCAGCTAGAAGGGACCCGGAGAGGTCACTTCATCTCCTCCAGCCCGACAGCGAGGTAGGACCAAGGTCACGTAGCCCCTCCTGGACAAGCATTTGTCTAAACTGTTCTTACAAACTCCACGGAAGCCTCTTCCAGGGCTCTACCCGTGGGCAGCCTCAGGCAGGAATCGTGGCTCTGTGTAGGGCCGGGAACGGGTTAGGGTTCTACAGCGGATATTCCGTTTATGGGGCAGGCAGCCTACCGGGACCAGGAAGGGAAGGAACGCAGCCCAATCTGCGGAGCGTTTCCTTAGGAGTGATGAGGTTAGTTCCAGGTGTCCATGGGGAGCACCTGACCCCCGGGCTCTGGGCTGGCATCGTACTACCCTCCGCCCTGCGCAGTACGTGCCACTACGGCCGCAAGAAGCCGAGGTGCTGGAGCTGAAATCCCATCGGCTTGTGGGCGGCAGGCAGGACTTGCTTCTGCCCTTGCTCTGCCCGGGTTGGGATTCCTTAGCCTCCCAGGCCCGCCAGGCTCTCCCCATAGGCGTGTGGGGCGAGAGGGGCTGGGTGGTATTAACCCAGCCGGGGGATTTGCACGGTTGGGCCTGGCATGTCGCTATGGAAACGCTGCCGGTGAGCGATGTCAAGGCCTGCTTTAGGGGCTGCACGTAAAGCCCGTGGGAGCCCGCCTCAAAATCAAGCCACGAATTAGCAGCTGTAAGTCGGGGCAGCCAAAGTGCAGCTGACGACCAGAGACGTTCCAGCTGGACCCGAGCAGCCAGATGATGCTGCCTGCTGTCTCCTCCGTTTCATGCCAGACAGATGATCCCGGCTGGGTCAAGTGTGAGCACCTCTGGTTCACGTGACCAGCACTACCCCACCAAACGCACTGTGGAGTCGCGACTGGGAAGTGCCAGTTCTATTTCTGTAGCGCTGAAAAAAATCAATCGGCTAAAACCCTGCAGTGAAAACGTCAACAACTTCCAAGTTGTCCCCCCTCTGCACTGGCACAGAGGCACACGTAGGCAAAGGTACAGTGTTTGGTACACCTGCTGTAGACTCACCCAGTGCCCGGGTTACCCGCATCAGCACCTCGCCCACTTTCATCCTGGTCTCTGCAGTGTGGGGTCCTGCAGCGCCCGGCGAAGTGCCACCATACTGGGCCAGCAGGCAGGGCAGGACCTGCTCCGGGTACACGTCCGACAGAAGGGCAATCCCTGTGTGCAGAAGACAAAGGGGGACGAGTGACTCTAAACTGTAAGGCTGGGGTGGGGAGGACGTGGCAGACAGTTGGCAGGATAACAGGAGCAAGGGGACAGGGAGGGGAGCACGGACACAGACCCCAGGACGTCTCACCACGCGGTGCCCAATCCCCATGAGCTGACAGAAGAAAATCCATCTGGGGTCCCTCTGGGCTTACCGCCTCCCTGCGCAGTGAGCGCCTCTGTCCCCCGCACCAGGCCAGTTACCCCTAGGGCGACAGGTTCCCATTGAGCTGTGGCCCAGAGGCACCACTGTGCTGCTCAGGCCAATACAATGCTAAGAACATCCGGCCTCAAGGTGCAGGGTGCTGGCCTGGCCCTCTGCGTGGCGGATGCAGCTGTCATCCGAGTGCCTGAGCCGTAGCCGCAAGGCAGCAGCCGACACGCTGGGGCACAGGCGGAGGCGGAAGGACTCCCAGCGATCTGTCCAGTGATTAGAAGTGGCAGGCTCTGTTTGCTCAAGGCAGTGTCAGTAGACCGGGGAATTTGAATGGTCTTTGTTCACTTTGGCATCTCTAGCACATGTCAACGTGCCAAGTTTCCTGCCCATCTCTGGCTCCTCACACATGGTTCTCTGTTGCCTTATCCCCCCGGGGCCCTGGAAGGTAGCTAGGCGCCTGCGGGCTCTGGAAACTCCGGGCAGACCCTGAGGGAACTGCAGGTAGAGGCTGGCCCAGTTGAGCTGGGGGGAAGCCAGGGCTGCATCCGCAGGGTGCTGGAACTAAAACAGGCACACTGGCATCGCTGCGTGGTAGCGGCCCCGACCAGAAGAGCAGAGGGTACTAGAAGGCAGGAATGACTGGCACAGAGCAGCTGCCTTTATTTCCATGAGTAATGAACTTCACCCAGAGCAGGAAAGTGAACTGAAAAGTCCTGCTGGGAGAACTGAAGTCACTCCCCTGAGCCACACCCTAACTAGGCAGAGAAGAGGAGAAATCCCTCCCCAGTGCCCCGCAGACAAGAGAAAATGAGGCAGCTGGAGCCAAACCCTGGTCCCAAGGGGCCGGAAGTACGTGCAGCTTTCCTTCTGAGATCTGTAACCATCTCCACACAGCTTCCCCGCCGGCCAGACATGCAGATAAAGGGCCATGTTGGCAAGCCCCGTGGAAAACTGGTTCCACCCTCTCTGCAGAAAGGAAAACTCACAGCAGGTTTTGCCCTGGCAGAACGCTGAGCTCAGCACTGAAGAGCCCTCCTAGCTCAGCCAGAATGGATTCCTCGGGGAGCCCTGCCTGGGTCGGACGGAGCCTCGAGAGCCCTTGGATTCCTGGTCGCTCCTGTCGGACTCTGCCCTGCCTCGGTCTGGGAGACCCTTTGCGACAGGCTGGCCAGGGATCCAGGGGAGGCTGCACCGCTGATTTACATGAAATCTCTCTGCAAAAACGGTACCACCTCACCCACCTTGTCTCCCTCACCCCTCTCTGCACTGTCCCCAGCCGTTCCTTAGGCTTGCCCACACTGTCTGGGCAGGGCGGAGAGCTGGAACTCTGGGATGCACAGAAACTTGACAGCAGTTTGAGTGGCAGTGTGCTGAGCACGGCCTGTCGCGCCTGGTCTCTGCACTCCAGCGGGCTGCCTCCCGTCGCCTCATGCCTAATACCTAGCAGCTCTGGGTCTGTACAGCACCTAGCCCCGGGGGTCCTGGCACGCGACGAGGGCTCCTCCGCACGACGCTATTACTCAGCCACAAACTAACCCCAACTCGGAGATTAACTTTCAGGCTGGGCTAGAGTCACAGAATTGGAGAATCCTAGTGCACTGGAACTGGCAGGGCCCTCGAGAGTCGACGAGTCCAGTCCCCTGCCCAGCACCGTCAGACCATCCGACAGGTGTCTGTCCCACCTGCTCGTCCATATCCCCAGCGCCAGACCTAGCTGGTTTCTAAACGCCCCCTGCCCAACGCCAACACGCTATGGTTAGTTAGCGTGCCATGTCTGAGGGAGAAATGATCTAACAGCTGGCAACAGGTGCCCACTAACTGGGGCCTAGTGTGTACTCCAGCCACACAGCCCGTGCTTCTGGATGCCTGTGCAGAGATACAGGCTGGATAGGTTCCAGTCACCGGCTGTCGGAGGCCTCTGCTCTAACCCTGCTTACAGCACCGTGAGCGCCCTCATCTCGCCGCCTGCCCTTGGCGGCCATCAGGGCCGTGTCATTGCACAGCCAAGAGTGGGCAGCAGCCAGACCCTTTCACCTCATCCCGTGTCTGCACCAGTCCAGGAGCAGGCGCTTGGCAGATCAGGCTGCGCTCCAGCTCGGAAGCCCATGCGCTGCCCACAGAGCGTTCCAGACAACAGCAGCGTGACCAGGACTCAGCCCAGAGAGGCGGGACCACAAGAGAGACGTTGGAAAGCTCCAGGGTGGCACTGCCCCTTTAAGAGGGAAGGGGATGCGCACTTGAGACTCCTCAGCTCCAAAGAGGTGCTGGGACCTGGACTCGAGAGAGACCCGGTGAGAGGGAGGCTTTAGAGCAGAGACAAGGCAGGTGAGAGCCGCCAGCCATGACACTGAATGCTACTGCAGGGGGAAGGCAGGAGGGCAGCAAAAGAGAGGGGGTTGCCCAGCCATCTGTAGCCAGAGAGCCAGGGCCAGAGGACTGGAGGGGGCTGAGGGCAGAGGAGTGGCTATGAACGGAGGTCTCCCTCCTGGAGAGCTTGAGCCGGGGGCAGAGAGCCCAAGGGAGCGCTTGCTGCCCCCCGGTGAGGATGAACCTCGTGGTGGGGTGGGACCCTGCTGGGAAGAGTAGCTGGAAGGGCTGGGGTGGCTGTCCCGGTCCAAGGCCAGGCCTGAGGAAGAGCCCAGGTGTGGTGCACGTGTGGCATCTCACAGGGTTCTAAGACCCACCTTGTAAGACCTAGCACCCATGCCAGCACAGCTAGCAGGCAGCAGGCACCCGCAGGGTGCTACCCAGCGCCAGCTGTAACCAGCCTGTGCTCCACCTCCCACAACCGCCATGGACCCAGGCCGTGGGACGTTCTGCTTCGGGGCAGCCTCACGGCTCCTAATGGGCCCCCTGCCCTGTATAAGCTCCCAGGGTGTTCCAGGGAGTGTCCAGGCAAAAGCACGGATCGGCTGCAGCTGCCATGACTGTTCCTGCTCATTGCTCCTCAGTCCCTGGCTCTGACCTCAGCTTGGTCTAGGCTTCGCCCTGGCCTCGGACCCTGAGACCCAGCCCTTGGTATCAACCCTGGCCTGGAACGCGACTCTGAGCTCCTCCGCTTCTTCCCGCCTTGGGTTTGCCCCTCCGCTGACCTGGGCCCTGACTGGTCTTGATGGGATCGGACATACATGGCACTGGGGGGGCGGGGAGGGAATGTTCGTTGTGTTTAATTTGCACTATGTTTTTGGGATAAACCAGTCCCAAGAAGGGACATGAGGAGACCAAAAAGCCTGCCCAGAGCTCCTGGCGCCTTCAGTGCAGGCAAAACCAAAGCAGACACCCCAGGCCTACGGCTGGAGGGGGACACGCTGCGTGGAACCAGCCAGCAGGCAACTGGACAGTAGGAAAGGTGCAGCCAGGCGGGGCCCAAGCCACTGGGTGCAAACGGGAGACACGGGGAATCTGAGCATGCCTGGCTGTTCCAGGAGCAACACCAGGGAGAAGCAGGGCCCCGTGACTCATGCACAGGAGGGGCTGGGCTGCGCTGCCAGGCCTGGCCAGGTTTGCAGCACTGGGAGTGGGCTCGGAGGACGCAGACTAATTCCAGGTGGGACTGCCAACGCCATAAAAAGCAGCTAGTCAGTGGAAACTGGGGCGTGGCCCAGAGCTCCCCAGCACTGGCAGGCACGCCGGCAATGGTGAGGGCTGACACGAGCTCTAGCTCCCTCCCATCCCCAGAGGAGCAGCCCTCACCCACAGACCCCACGTCTTAAGGTATGGACGAACTAACACTCCCTAGTCAATTACATAGCCACAGTGGGATAGAGCCAGACCTCCTCCCTCTCCCTTCCTGTGGCCCATCGGGCTTTGTGCGTGGCCCACGAGACATTGTGTTCACCGCTGCCCACGCGCAGGGCTGCTCGATCCCCCTGATTTCTGTCCAAGTCGTCTCTCCTGCCAGCATCTCTGGAGTGACAGGCACGTAAAGGCAGGGCCCGTGAAGTGGGGCGTGCGGACTGCACACAGCAGTGACCGTGAGAGCCGGGGGCTCCCTTTGCTCCCCAGAGCTGCTCCGGTTCAGTTGGCCCCTGCACATTCCAGGTACACAGGCACAGGGAGCAAAACTCCCCTACCCTGGGAGACCGACAATTGCATGGTTCCGACAATTGCATGGCCCACAGAGATAAAGGAGGGTCACTCGCCTGCCTTGCTTGCCCCGTCTGCTCTAGGGTGACCCCTGATCTCCACTCTCAGCCCTGGCTACCCCGCTCGCAAGTTCCAGCATCAGAAAACACTTGCAAGACAGCCCTGCCGCAGACGCAGCACATGCTGCCCAGAGGAAAGGGAACTTTCCTAGAGCACTCAGCCCTACAGCCCTGAAGGCCATTTACAGTGCATGACTGACAACATTTTCTAATCTTACATGTTACTCCTGTGTACACTTAGTGACTCAACACGACATGTAACTGTGTCAGAGTTAATCGGAACCATAACCGGCTGCTAAAGAAGTGAGCAGCTGCCCACAGCACATGAATCATTCAGAGGATACCGACGCGTGCGTGCGTATTTCCCCTGCAGGGCAAGAATAAACTCATCACACTCAAGACTGTACAGGCAGGGAGGGAAGCGTACCAAAAACTCATCTTCCAGCTGGTTTGGAAGGGTGGCTTTTCCAGCGAACCAATCACAAGCAGCACACACGCCCTTTCTTCTCTTCTCTTCTCTTGCTCCTCATCCAGCCAACAAGAGAAGTGGGGATGGGAACTGGGAATTTTTTTGTTAATGAGCCAGTTGTACCCATGTGCTCTAGCTAGCTTCAGGGTGCAATGAAACTGCGGAGGAGGTTCAGAGACAGAGTTAACCAACTCTACAGTCCGCAGGGGTTTTCCTCCTCCATGCTTTGCGTCTCCTAAGCAATATATTGTTTACCCCCCTAAGAATCTCACCAAGACTTTCCTTCCAAAGGAGCAACGCTACCTCTTGCACACAACCCCCCACACGCGGGAAAGCCGTTTCTCCTGCTCTGAGACCTGGGCCAGAGACTGACAAGGCGTATGGCCTGGCTCCCAGCAGTACTAGGGTCCAGTGGGTTAAGGAAGGGGTAGGCTCCTAAGGTCCCATTCAAGATCCCACTGCAGATACCCCAAGACGACCACTGGAGGTGAGTGGCAACGCGATCGCCCGTCAGCCTTGTCCACACTGGAGCAGGAGAGGCGTGCCAGCGCGGGGCAGGGTGTGCCGGCCAGAGTGCTTTTGCTAGCTGCCATGAAGTGCGAATTTTCATTCATATTTTTATGAATCTTTTATGAGCTTCAGTTTTCCCATGTACTTAACAGCGCTGCCGAATATGAGGCAGCACAGATCGCCCGAGGAGTGTGTGCCAGCCCCCTGCCTGGGTGGAGTGACGGGGTCTTTTACAGACCTGCTTCCAACTAGGGTGGTGCCAGTGTGCACGTTTAGACAGTGAACCCGGGAGCCCTGGCTCAGCAGTTAACCTGCACGGTTACACACAGGCTCCTGGCCGCTGGCCCTGCAGGCTGCCGAATCGGCTCTGCTCCCGGCCGCCAGCCCAGCTGCCTGCTCCCGGCCACCAGCCCCACGGGCTCCTGGCCTGCTGGCCCAGCCTTGCTCGTAGCCACCGGCCAGGCTCCCTGCCCCCAAGCTCCCAGCCCAACTCTGCTTCCAGCCCGTGTCTCCAGGCTGCCAGCCTGCCAGCCCAGCTCCGCTCCCAGTTGCTGGGGCTCTCTGATCCAGGGGCCCTCTCGCCCCACAAAGCCCATGTCGCCTCAGAGTGTGCTGGGCCAGAGAGGCGCTGCAGTTGTTGAGGGAATTAGGTCTGCAGAGGGAATTGCTCCCCCACTTCCAGACACAATCCTCCATTTCCACCACGAGATGGTGCTGGGAACAGCTCCCAGCCTCCCCTGGGGCCATGGAAAACGTTTGCTGCCCCTTTTGTTTTAAAGCCAATCTTCCCCAGCCAGCCCGTGCTTGGAACAGCCAGGCAAAGGTACAAGGATGGCTGTGCTCTCCTGGCTCAAACGGGAGGGCATTCCTTCCGCGCGCCTTCAGCTCCCTTGGCGGCCAAGAGGATTCCATCTCCAGCTTTCATCCAGCGAAGCAGCCTGGGACTCCAGGCAAAGCATCGATGGCAGCCAGAGAAAGCTTCCCTCTGTGGTCTGAGCCTCAGCACCTCCCGCTTCCCCGGAGAACGGCTTTTGGAAAGCGGGGGGGGGGGGGGTTTACACTTCCATCTGTCCCGTGTCAGAGGCAGGACACTGCCCCGGCAAACCTTCATCAGACTCACTGGGCACGGCTACGCAGCGGCGAGAACGGCTAGGATCGCTCGCTGCCAGGAGGCAAGGGCAGAGGCGGCTTGTCTCTCCGAGCTCGGGCCCTGTCGCACAGTTCCCAAGGGGCTGCTAGGCTGTGCAGACAGCGCGGAGGGGAGCAACCCCCTGCCGAGTGCAGCTCACGTGGCTCGAGGAGCCCGGGGAAGAGGAAAGATCCCTACTGGGAACTGGGGAGCCAGGCACTGAGATGACGGCCCCAGAGCAAGGGCGTGGCCTAGTGGGGATTAGAACGAGCAGCTCCTGGCCCCCGAGCCCCACCCGTCTCACCCAGGCAGTGGTCACTGGGCCATCCGGGGACTGACGGGAGCCAAGGGCTCTGCACAGCAGTCACCGTGCACATGGAAGCAGCAAAGCCTTCCCAAAACACGAGGCCAAAGCCAGGCGGCGTGGGCCCTGCGCTCACCTTGGATAGCAGAGAGATACACAAAGGAGTCCTCATGTTCCATGTTCTCCAGGAACACCTGGGGGACAAAGCACAGCGGTTACCAGCTGGGGGCGAGCCTCGGGTTCTCCCCGTCCCACCCGGGGACCGTCAGCCAGGTGTTCCCGCTCCGGGAGCGAGTGAAGCCGCTGGCCCTGTGGTCAAGCTGGAGCTGCAAGGCCCGCGTGCTCTGTGGGGAAGCAGCTTCTCTCCAAGAGGAAATTTGGAAATGCAAAACTGGCAGCAGCTAGCTGTTCCGCCTCCGCCTGGGCCCAGCCCACAGCTCTGCCCCCAGCAGCATGGGCCCCTCAGCTGCCAGGTGTTCCCGCTCCGGGAGCGAGTGAAGCCGCTGGCCCTGTGGTCAAGCTGGAGCTGCAAGGCCCGCGTGCTCTGTGGGGAAGCAGCTTCTCTCCAAGAGGAAATTTGGAAATGCAAAACTGGCAGCAGCTAGCTGTTCCGCCTCCGCCTGGGCCCAGCCCACAGCTCTGCCCCCAGCAGCATGGGCCCCTCAGCTGGACGCTCCTGCCAGAGGGGAAACAGCAAATGCTGACAATGTACAGCATGGCCAGGGCCCATCAGCACCCTGCCGAGAGGAGTGCGCAGGTTTACATCTCAGAGTGGACACGGTCACTCCCCCCCCAGCCTGGCCCGCGGACGGCCCCAGGGAAAGGGTCCGAGCCAGGGATGCAATAGTGGAGTCGATTAACCCAAAAGCAAAAGCGCATCGGTTAATGCTACAGACCCCCCGCATTTCCCTGCCCCCGCCAGAACATTTTTTAGCAGGCTGGCCAGCAGCCCGGCTCAGTCCTGGTTTGGCCGGGTCCGGGACCTCCCCCTGCTGCGGCTCTGCATTGAAAGTGCATTAGGAGCCCGGCGGGCAGGCAGGCCAGCTCAATTCCAGCTCACGGGAGGAGCTCAGACCCCTCCCAGACAGGGGCTGCTGCCCCCATATCAGAGGCAGCAGCGCAGGGCAACAGGCAGCCGGCCCGCGAGGGGAGCTGGTTTTAAAACTGGTTCCCCTTGTGGACTAGCTCCTGCCTGGCACCCCGCACTGCTGCCTCTGATCCAGAGGCAGCAGTACAAAGTGGCAGGGGGCTCCCCGGGAGTGCGGCTGGAGCGCACTGGCTGCCGGCCCCGCCCCGCCCCGGGGACTATAGAATAGTCGAGTAACCGCTAAGAATTCATGAGGTTACTCGACTATTCCATTAACCGATATTTCACGTCCCTGGTCTGAGCCTGGGTCATGGTCGCCACGACTGTAACGCTGGTTGCTGAAATCAGCGAGCGAGACGCGGACTCCTCAGCCGCCCGTCTCCATAGCAGACTCCCAGCTGCAGGAATCCCCTCCGAGCCCTGCCACCGCATGGGAGACAAAGTGCGCGGGGGACTGAGGAGAGGGTTTCACTCACAGCGCCTGTGGGCACTTTCCAGCTTTAACTCTGGCTCCTCTTTTAGCCCCAGAGAAAAATGGACGTGACCTCTGTTCCTCCCAAGCCAGGAATGAGGGGCAGAGCGGGGCATTAATGCCCCAGACACTAGCCACGTTGGACCAGAGGAACCTTGCTGATCTCGCATTAGCAGGATCACTAACTGCGTCTCCCAAAGCACGTTTACAGCTCCTGGGGTGGGAAGGACACAGCCCAGCAGCACCACGAGGGAACACGGGAGGAAGGCTGAAGTCTGCAGAAAAACCTGTCAGCTAGGGAGCTGTGTGCTTGTGTCAGACTGTGCCTGGCCAGCCCAGCGCCCTCCCGGTCCCCGGTGTGTCGTGGTGTAGCAGAGCGCGCAGTGCCCGAAGGGACCCGCCCATGGCACCAACACCTGTAAGCAAGGCTTGGCCCTGCACTCTGCCTACCTTGAGGAGTTTCTCCTGGGCCCCAAGTCCGCCTGGGTCCCTCTGCTCTATCAAGCGGGAGAGGCTCCGCAGGGCAGCTGCCCGGACGGGGATTTCGGGGTCGTAGGCAGATAAGAGGAGCTCCTGGAGCTCTTGTGGAGGCGTCCCAGCAGGGCACTGCGTCTGCGTGGTGGAGGCCCCATCCTCTCCTTTGGGAGTGGGGTTTCTGCTTGTGTGGCTGGCACTCTCAGCACTCCGCGGCTGTCCCGGGCTGAGCGCAGCTGCTGCATCCTCGGCTCTTCCGTGGGCCTGACCTCCCGACCAGCTTGCCCCTGCTGTTTTCCCCAGGGCACTCTGGGCAGCAGTGCCGACTGTGGGGGTGGAGAAGGCGCCGTGGGTGCAGATGGTGATGCGCAGATCGGCAGCCAGCTCCTGGATGACGGGTTCCGGGTGAACGTGGGAAATCTCCTCCAACAGGGGCACCAACTGCTTTAGGACAGCGAAGTCGCCCGATTTCAGCTGGAAGAAGCACACAGGAGTCATGGGCAGGGCCTCCGAACGAGACGCACATGGACGCAGAGGCACCGGGAAGGCGCCCCAGCTGAGGGGCCTGGAACAGAGTGGCTGGGAGGCAGGCGGATGGAGCTGACAGGCGCCGCATGGTCGGATAATAATGTGCCGCAAGCTGAGGGGTGAGCACTGGCTGGGAGGGACGGCAGCCTTCACGCTTCCCTGCCCTTCTCGCTTGGGGCTGTGGCTCTAGGGGGCCGTGCAGGGCCTCAAACCTGGCCCATGCTGAAAGCGACCTGCAGCGAGCGTCTGACTGGCTTCCGCAAAGCCCCCCTAGTTCCTTCTGCTGCTGGCTCCGACGCTCCAGGGCGCGTTCTGGGTGAGCGCAAGAGCTCTCCTGCACGGTGCTGAGCGGGGATTCATCTGGGGCTTGGCCATCTGTGGTTATTTCCTCCTGGCCAAGAGGTGAGGTGCAGCTGCTGGCTCAACCTTCACGGGACTATTTTATGACAAAGGGGCCCAGGCCCCAAGGCCAGGAGTACGTGTATGTTCTAAATCAAAACCGCCACGGCCTGGCCCTCGCTATCCGCAAGCAGCGTGTACAGGCAGCCGCTAGGCAACGAGCCCTATGCCTGTTGTCAGAGACGCTGCACGTGCATCAGGGCACACGCCGGAGAGGGATGAAACCGGGACACAGAGTCCCAGCGCATAAGGCCAGAAGGAACCACGGAGTCCGCCCCGTCTCGTCTCTCGGGCCAGAGGACTTCCCTGAATGAACGCCTGCTAGCACTACAGCCCGCTGTGTAGAAAAGACCCCCAGCAGCTCGGCCTTCCTTTGGTATAAGCCAGGGAATGGGGCTGACTACACGGTGACCTGAGCTGCAGGCTTAGGAGCTCATCAGATCTTCACTGTTATCCCTGCGCCAGACCTTTTCTTGAAACTCTTTCACTATGTCTACACTGGTGGGTTCTTGCACCAGAAATATGCAAATGAGGCTAAGCATGGAATATCGCTGTGCCTCATTTGCATATCTAATGACCCGCCATTTTTGTGGAAGAGGCTCTTGCGCCAGAAGGAGCATCTACACTGCCCCTTCTTGCGCAAGAAAATAATCAGCGTAGCGGCATTGCGCAAGAGGGTTTTTCTTGCGCATGAAGGGGCAGTGTAGACAGCTCCTTCTGGCACAAGAGCCTCTTCCACAAAATGGCGGCTCATTAGATATGCAAATGAGGCTCGGCGACATTCCATGCTTAACTTCATTTGCATACTTCTGGCGCAAGATCGCGCCGGTGTAGACATAGCCCCGGAGAAGTGATTATTCCTCTTTACTCGGCACTGGGGAGGCCACATCTGGAGTATTGCGTCCAGTTCCGGGCCCCCCACTACAGGAAGGATGTGGACGCATTGGAGAGGGTCCAGCAGAGGGCAATGAAAATGATTCAGGGGCTGGAGCACGTGATTTCGGAGGAGAGGCTGAGGGATTTGGGCTTGTTTAGTCTGCAGAAGAGAAGAGCGAGGGGGGATTTGAGAGCAGCCTGCAGCTAACTTGAAGGGGGTCCAGAGAGGCTGTTCTCAGTGGGGGCAGATGGCAGAACGAGGAGCAATGGGCTCAAGTTGCAGTGGGGAAGGTCTAGGCTGGATATTAGGAAAACGATTTCCCTAGGCAGGTGGGGAAGCGCTGGGCTGGGTTCCCTGGGGAGGGGGTGGAATCTCCATCCCTAGAGGTTTTTAAGTCTCGGCTTGACCAAGCCCTGGCTGGGATGCTTGAGTCGGGGGTGGTCCTGCCTTGGGCAGGGGGCTGGACTCAATGACTCTGGAGGGCTCTGCCCGCCCTAGGATTCCACGATTCTACCATTCTAGTTCGACTCCTTGAGCGAGTGAGTCTGTTCCCAGAGCTAGGGTTTGTGGCTTTCTGGCTCAAACACCCCCCCTTCTGGAGAGACCTTGGGCAAACGAAGAAGCAGCAGAAAGAGGCCGAGCAGCGAAGCAGGATCCCAGCAGTGCAAAGATGCGCGATGCTGTGAAACGCTTCCATCAAGTGTAACCTCTTGCACAAAGGTGCTGCTGAAACAGCGGCAGGTAGACGGCTCACTTGTGAGTCATCTGGGCCCTCTATTCCAGCAGTCACAGCCTTCACCACAGGGCACACTAGCCCAGCCCAGCTGACGCAATGGCATGAATCAATTTCTTGGCACCACTCTGAGACAAGAGTCAGAGGACGTGGGGGGGAGAAAGGGGCCAGGAGTGTTGCAGCAACCCAACCCCAGCGTAAGTGTCATCCCGGCGCAGGGAAGTCAGGTCTGTACTCAGCGGTGGAAGGGGGAAATGGCAGGTCTCTGTTTGCAACAGTTCAACTACCCCCAGTTCCAGAAATTCTAGGGCTGCCCCTCGGCCCAGGCCCAGGCTGCCATGCCTGTCCCAGAGCAACCTGCATTGCTGCTCAGAGGCTCCTGCATTGAGGCCAGTGTGTCCCAGCTTACCTGCACTGCCCCTCCGAGCATGGCAGCCACTAGTCCCATGGCCATGCTCAGAGTCTGCGCTTCCACTGTGCCCTCGGAGCCCTGGGCCAGACTGGCACATGCCCGCTGCAACGTAGCTGCCACGAACGCCACCACCTGCCAAAGGGAGGGAGTTTGGGAAACAGATCACATCAGTCCAGTTCGAGACACGGGCATCCCTTAGACCAGGGTGGGCAATCACTTTTGACCGGGGGCCACTTCAGGAAAGTTTAAAGTGGCCCTAGGCCACCCCAGAAGGGGCGGGGCCTCAGGTGGAAGGGGCGGGGCCAGAACACTTCTATGCTTCCCCACCCACAGACCCTGATTGGTCCGGGGATAGGGGAGTGCGCAACATCTGCCCCCGCAGAGAGAACTGCCAGCTGGGTACCCACACCCCTGCCAGAGGGAGGAGACTATGTCTGCTCCCAGGTCAATCCGGGCCTAGGGAGGGGGAGCATGGGAAGTCTCTAGCTCTCTCCCTGCCCCGCCCTGCAAGGAGTGCTGCGCTGAGAGGCAACCGCCAGCTGAGCAGCAGCTGGTACTTGACTAAGTGCTGAGCCCCTTGCAGGGCGGGAAGAAGACTTCACGCGCTCCCTGCCCTCCTCAAGCCCTGATTGGTCTGGGGGCAGGGGAGCGGCAGGGCCTCCGTGGGCTGGATCAACTTGCTTGGCGGGCCGGATCTGGCCCATGGAGGCCCTGTTGCCCACCCTGCCTTAGAACTTAAGCCAAGCGCTAGCAGCACGCCCATGCGACAGCATCCCCTCTGGCTGGCCGCAGAACTGGCTGCACATTACAGGAAGCGCGGGCTGTGCCGGGAGCCAGAGAAAGACGTAGCTACTTGGAAGCGGAGCGTCGGCTTGCCGGGGGCTCCCGCTGCTCCACGGTACCACCCACGCTGCTCCTGCCCAGAGGGCCCCCGGCGCGGGGCTGGCTGGGGGAGGTGGCTCTGTGCAATTCATGCAGACACTCAGGCGGTGGGCCCCAGGGAGCCCCAGGCGCGAGAAATACATACACGTGATGCACGGCTGCAGGTACAGGCCCCGTAGCAGCTCATGTGCGAGGAGCTTGGCCTGTCTAAAGCACCTCAGCAACATCGCACCTCACATGCCGCCAGCGCCAAGAACACCAGGCTGCAGCCAAACCAGCCTTCGCCCTCCCCCGTCCTTCCAACGCAAGGCAGCAACCTGGCGCTTCTGACACTTGATACTTGAAATACACTACTCCCCCTCCCCCCGCTGAGCCAGGCGTGGCAGGGTCAGCCCGAGCTGACGGGCTGGGCTATCAGCAGCAGCAGCGGCTTGACTTCCCTCAGAGCTTTGAGGCCTTTATTCCCAGGGAAGCAGCATTTTAATTTGCTGCTTCAGTGCAGCCCTTCATTGGCCCCGGCTGAGACAACGACGGTGCAGCTCACTGCATTCATTAGCAGGCCTCCCCCACGGCAGGAACCTGGCAGGGCCTCCCGGGACCAGTAGGTTAGCAGCCCCTAAGACGCGGGTGAGCATTACATGGCAGGGCCACTCCAAGCTTTTGGTAAGTGGTCAAGGGCCACACTTCTCTGGAGGGGCTGCTGGTGCAGAAGGCCGCTCAGGGTAGGGGCCTGGGGTGCAGGAGGAGGCTGGGATCTGGGGCTGGGAGGGTGGACGGGTGCAGGAGAGGATTCGAGCCGGGGAGGGGTATTGGAGGAAGCTGTGACCGGGGGGCTGGGGAGAAGGGTGTAGATGGTTCCGATGGTGAGGTGGCCTGGCGTGCCAGTGGCAGGGGGGCTCTTCCCTAGGCGGCTCCTGGAAGGCAGGCCCCCCCCTTGCCGCAGCCCCATCCTGCTCCAAATGGCTGGCTGCTCCCTGTGGCTCTCTCTGGGCACCTGGGGAGAGGGGGGACGTCACCCAGCAAAACCTCTGTGCTCCCATTGGCTGGTTTCTGCGAGCGGAGCAGAGAGCCACGGGGAGTAGCCAGACACAGCGGCATGAGGCTGCTCTGTGCCGGAGGGTCCCGGCAGGGCAGCCCACGGGCCAGATCTAGTGCTTGTGGACCAGACCTGGCCCGCAGGCCATATCCTGCCCTCCCCCGTGCTAGGAACTTCCCCTTTCTGACCTTCGCTGAGCAAACTGTCAGGCTCTGCAGGCCTGTGCGGGTGGACGGTTACAGGGAAGCCAAGGGCTCTGGACTCATCAGCTGATGATGGGGGGAGGAATGAATAACTGGCCTTTTCCAGCCCCCCAAATTACTCCATCTCTAGGCACAAAGCGCCCCCAGCCCCTTACGCAGTGAGACAAGGCCGGGGGTTAGGCCGCACGGGCTCCACGCCAGGTCTGCAGTCAGAGCAGGGACAGGGTTCCCCAGGGTTCACAGCCCCCTGCAAGACGCTTGAAAACCACAAACCCCTTTCTTGCCCAACGGGTTCTGGCCTTCTCCAGCTGCCTGTCCCACCCCTGGCCCCCCCTTTGCTTCCTGCATTTCTAATGCAGCATCCCACGGCCACGGCTTCCGGCCACGCCGCCGTTTACCCGCCAGCAGCAAGGCTGCAGCACAAGTCTGTGGCTCTGCTCTGGTTTGTGATGAGGTGGGAAGACCAGCACCATGCCAGGGTTTCCATTCGGAGTAACCTTCTTGGGGCCCTATGGCAATACGGCAAAGGGCCCCGTCACCACATGCCATGCCCCCCAATCCTCCATCCCCTAACGGCAGCTCAGATCACCTCCGCAGCGTGGATCCCAGGGGGCTACTTGGATAAGTAACGGATGGGAAGTCTCCGGACATTACTCAAACTGCCGGTGGAAGGCCAGCTGGCTCTGGGAAGGAGGGGCCGGGGAAAACCGCTGGCACCCTTCTGGGCCCAGAAGAAGGTGCTGCTGGAAACGGCAGAGCACCACGTATAGCGAGCTCCCCATGGCCAGTGGGTCTCTCCTGGGGTCTGCAGACGACGTCTGAGATCTCCCAAGGGGGCCGCACCTCCAGCTGAAATGGTTTAGGGGTCCACAGTGAGAAAAGGATGCGGCCCGCTGCCCTACACACGCAGCCCCAGGCTCTCCTAGCTGGGTGCCCACTGGCGCATGGCGGAGAAGGGCGGCTGTGGGAAGCGCAGCGCCACGGCAGTTCCATTTGCCCAGGCTGACATCCTCGGGAAAGGGTTAGAGAAACTCCCGGTCGCTTCAGGCTGAGTCCGCCCTGCGGCCACAGCAAGAAACACCCTCCCCGCCGCACCCCCGCTTGGCACACGGGTCGGTCAGTGGAAAGGCACGGCCACGTCTGGCTTCATGCCAGACTGCAGAACGGGTCACGTGGGGGGTCGTCCCGTGAGCCCCCAGCCCCCATGGCATTTCCCAGCTGCTGGGCTGCGCCCACGGGCTCTGCCACGACCTACCTGTGCAACGTCCGTGAACACGGTGTCCGAGACGCGCTCACACAGCGTGGCCACCAGCTGCAGAACAAGCAGCTGCTTCTCCTGCCCCTCGGGGTGCTGAGGGTGGCACTGCTCCAGCTCCGCCCGGCTCGCACCGGAGAGGGGCCTGGCCTCCAAGCCAGCCTCGTCCTCGGCCGCCACACGGGTCAGCTCCTGCCAGACACCGACAGAGAAAGCTCAGCACAGGAGATGGGTCTGAGGACCACGGACAACGACAGCCCCAGCCACACAGCTGGGGGCACCCGGCCAGCAGCAAACTCCCCAGAACACCGTCAGATCGCAACAGCATCCCAGGGCCTCCGGGACTGTCACCGGCCAGGCTCTTGTTTGCCTGCTGGCTTTGGCGCTGGCATCGGACCCACAAGAGACCCGGCCCCCAGGCAAGCTCACCTTTACCTGAGCTAGGAAATGAGCAGGGACAGCCGCTCAGCAAGCCAAGGAGGGCTCGCTGCTGCTGGCAGGGCACGCCGCTTGCTCCACGCCCAAGTGCCCCTGTGCTGCCAGCGCCCTTCCCACCCACCCTCAGGGCGAGCTGTTTCAAGAGGGCCAGACGCAGCGCGTGGGGCTCTGTGCACCACAGAAGGGCCGTAGCCCCAGGGCACAGGTTCTCCGCTGGGTCTGGCAGTGGGGAGAGCAAGGCCCGGCCCAGCCCTAGCCAGCACTGCAGCGGGGCCGTGGCAGTGGCTAGGCTGGAAGAAATGGAGACAGGTCAGGGAGCTGGGCCGAGGAAGTGGCTGTCTGGGGAGGCAGGGACTCCCCTGGCTGACCCCACCGTTAAACTGGGCAGAACAAGGCTTAACTCTTTCACAGCTGGAGGACACAGCGCCTGCTCAGGGCTGACACACAGCTCCCCTGTTCCTGTGGTGGCGCT